GAAAAGATTAAATGGGATAATTTACTGTTTCCGTAACTTTGTAGGTTTTTGAAGAATTAGAGTAAAGGAAATAAACAAGAAAGAAACTAGAAAGAAAATAAAGAAAGCAGAGGGGTATGTATATATGTGCTTGAAACATGTATGTGTAGTGTGAACTAAGTGTAAGTAGAAGTAGCAAGATGTACCTGAAATCTTGTATGTTCATGAGACAGAAAAAAGGACACCAGCAATCCTACCATCATGTAAAACAATCACAGGCTTTCGTTTTACACTCACTTGGCAGGACGGTAGTACCTCCCTGGGCGGTTGCTGTCTACCAACCTACTACCTAGGATGAACAGAAGTATGTGCACTATATACACTATGTACAACAATAGGTATTAGTGCACACCACAGTAAGCAAGGCAGAATAGATGCCACTAGAGAGCAGACCGGGCTTCAACCTGCTTTAGAATGAAAATGACAAGGGTAGACAGGCGGGTGGTGCCCACAACACCTCAATTGGCTGAACCAGGGTAGTGATTGAATGATGGGGCCCCATTGTTCAACCCTTGTACTGGTTCGCTGGTTGGGGAGATAGCCTTTCAATGAGGGTGTGTACATGCACCAAATAAAGGTTACGTACTCTTTGCATGCCACAGGGAGGAATGAGGCAGATGTTCCAAGTGTATGGAATAGGTAGTAAGATACTGAATGGTGCCAAGAGTTTTCATGAGAGTAGCGAGGCTCCTCAGGTTAAGGTGCATCTTAGACAGGGATGTGTAATGTCACCATGGTTGTTGATGGGGTTGTAAAAGAAGTAAATGCTAGGATGTTGGGGAGAGGGGTGGGATTAAATTATGGGAAATCAAATACAAAAGGGGAGTTGACACAGTTACTTTTTGCTGATGATACTGTGCTTTTGGAGGATTCTAAAGAAAAGTTGCCACAGTTAGTGGATAAGTTTGGGAGGGTGTGTAAAGGTAGAAAGTTGAAAGTGAATATACAGTGCTCGTCACGTCATTTTTTTTTTTTTTCCTCCAGTGTATTCTGTTGGGTAGCAGCTGTTAGCATGATGTCACGGCCTGCCACCACACTTCACAGTGACTTCTCATTGCTCACATGGCTGCCGTGGTGAGAGGAAGTGTTGCACTTTTGTCTCAAATCTGCCTCATCTTTTGTCCCGTGTTGCCTTTGGTTTTGGGGCTATACATCTTTGATTATGTTTAAAAGAAAGTCTTTAACACCTGAAACTATAGCGCAAATTATAGGGCTTCACAAAGCTGGGCACCAAATGAAAGAAATAGTGGAGAATGTTGGTGTGTGTGACCATTTCTTTCGTCACAGACACCACTATTTCTTTCGTCTGGTGTCAAGCTTTGTGAAGCCCTATGATTTGAGCCATAGTTTCTGGTGTTAACCCTTTGAGGGTCGACAGGCCCTCTCCGAGACTCGTTCTCAGGGTCGGCCAAATTAAAAAAAAAAAAAAAAATCTAATGAAAAGATAGAGAATCTTTTCCCGATCATAATGACACCAAAAGTATGAAATTTGATGGAAAATTTACGGAATTATGCTCTCGCGAAGTTAGCGGTCACGGCGATGTAACATTTTTACCCACTTTAGCAGTGAAATCACCAACTACAAGTACTCTCTCACTTGGTTCAAAACTTCCCACTCATTCGCTCAACATTTCTCAAAATCTCTCTCTCTCCTCTACGCTTCTTTCTTCTCCAGATGAATAAACACTTACTATAACCCACTTTTCACATCCAACCCTTATTTTACTCCACATAATCCTTGAATTAATACATTTGTTGTCCCTTTTTCCTGCCATAACTTATCCTTCAACATTATTACTACTCCTTCTTTAGCTCTAACTCTGAGAAATTGACCAATCCATTTATTTCTCCCCCGAAACTCCCCTACACCCTTCAGTTTTTGTTTCCAACCCCAGGACATCCAGCAGCTTTTCAACATCACAGTTCTTTTTTTTCATTCGCTCTAAATCATTTCCATTAAAACTTTCCCACTTTGTCAGATTTCCTTTACTCCTTCCTTCCGGGATAACTCTGTCTCTCATAGTTACAAAGAAAGAATTTAATGTTTGCATATGTCTTTAAACCTCAGTTTTAAATTTTTGTATTTTTTTTTTTTTTTTTTTTCAACAAGTGGCCCGTTCCCCCGAGCGGGTGCCCCAAAAAAAGAAAGAAAATCCCAAAAAGAAATGCTTTCTCTTCTTCAAATTTCCCCCAACTCAAAATCTTGTTTTTGCGGGGTGCTCAAATACAACAGTTTAAAAAGCATATCGTAAAAAGATACACAAATTCCCTCCAACTGCCAGTTTCCAAACCCCCTCCTTTAAAGTGCAGGCATTTTATTTCCCCTTTCCCGGCTCAAGCCCGACTATTGAAAATACCGGGTTTTCCCCCAAATCCCTCAAAATTTTCCCCCTGTCACACTCCAAAATCGTTAGTCCCAAGTCCATTCCCCCTTACCCCATCTAACACGCTCCGCACGCTTGCGGAAAGTCCAAGCCCCTTGCCCAAAAAACCTCCTTTACCCCCCTCCCCCAACCCTTTGGGGACGACCCCTCCTTGCCTTTCCTTCCCTTTATTTTTATTCTTTCCCATGCTTCTTCTTTGATCCTTCTCTAAAATGACCAAACCACCCAAAAACCCTCTTTGCCTCTGATAATTCTTTTTAATTCCACACCTTTTCCCAATTTCCCACCCCGATTTTCTCCCTAATTTTTACCCCCAAAAATTGCCTTGGACAGGACATCTCCCGCCCCCAACCGTCCTGCTGCGCTTTTCCCAAAAAGTTTCCCCAACCCAAAAAGATTGGTATACTATACTTTCATAACCCCCTTTTTTCCCTTCCAAATAAAGTTTTTTGCTCCACAATCCTAAGCTCCCAATCACCTTTTTTCCCCATCAATTCTTTTTAAACCCCATCCTTCATAAATCCCCCGCCGACAGTCAACTCCAAGTATTGAAAACATTTACTTCTTTCCTTACTCCTCTCCCCAAATTTTATATCCAATTTTTTTTTTATCTAAATCATTTGATACCCCCATCCCTTACGCTTTCTATTTCACTTTAACTTTCTACCCTTTTCACACATTTTCCAAACTCATTCACTACCCTTTTTAATTTTTTTTTAGTTTTTCCCTAACACAGTTCATACAAAAGTAACTTTGTTAATTTCCTTTTGATTTGATTCCCCCCTTATTTAATCCCCCCCCTCCCCAAAAACCCTACATTTACTTCTTTTAAACCCCCCTTTTAAATATATTAAACAACCATGGTGACATTACACCCGTCTAAGACCTACTTTTACCGGAATAGTCTCCCCCTCTTCTACCCACCCTAATGGCCTCACTTTTTCATAAAAAGTCTTTACAGCATTTGTAACTTTTTACTATTTCCTTTTTTTGCAAAACTGCCACATTCTCCCTATCCACTCTATCATTGCCTTTTCTAATCCAAAATTTAATAAAAAACTTCCCTACCTTTTTCTAAAAATGTTCACAACATCCCCCACCCACTTGAAACCTCCTTTTCTCCGCAATCCCTTTTGTCTTACCTCTATTCTTTTAATAATTCCCTCCATACACTTTTCCCCGGGATACTCAAAAAACTTTTTCCTCTAAATTTTTCAATTCTTTTGTCCCCCTTTTCCCTTTTTATAATTGATATAATGCTCTCCGCCAATCCCTGGTACCCTTTCCCCCTTTCATACATTTATTAAACAAAAAACCCAAACCCCTCCAACTCTATTCCTCCCCCCTTTTAAAATTTCTGCATTTCCCCCATTCCAGCGCTTTACCCCCCCCCCTTCTACGTAAACCTTTCCTCTCCCCCCCACTTACATTTTTGCTTTCTTTACTCCTAAAAAAAAGATAATCTAACAAACTACTTTCATTACTGCTACATCATACCTTGTATATTATTTATCCTCTTTTTCATAAAATATGTATTACTTATTTACCAAATCTCTTTCTACACATAGCTCAATTAAAGGCTCCCCATTTACATTTACCCCTGGCACCCTAAATTTACCTACTACTCCCTCCATAACATTTTTACCCACTTTAGCATTGAAATCCCAACCACCATTACTCTCACACTTGATTCAAAACTCCCCACGCATTCACTCAACATTTCCAAAATCTCTCTCTCTCCTCTACACTTCTTTCTTCTCCAGGTGCATACACGCTTACTATAACCCACTTTTCGCATCCAATCTTTATTTTACTCCACATAATCCTTGAATTAATACATTTATAGTCCCTCTTTTCCTGCCATAGCTTATCCTTCAACATTATTGCTACTCCTTCTTTAGCTCTAACTCTATTTGAAACCCCTGACCTAATCCCATTTATTCCTCTCCATTGAAACTCTCCCACCCCCTTCAGCTTCGTTTCACTTAAAGCCAGGACATCCAGCTTCTTCTCATTCATAACATCCACAATCATCTCTTGTGGTATTCATTACCACAAAAAAAATTGTAAGATGTCAGCATGTTTTCTCTTGCTTGTGTGAAGGGATGGGGGATCAATTCATGTTTCTTTTAAATCTCATACTTAGTTCTTAATTATAATTAGTCCATAGATCTTCCAATAATTTAAATACTGTAGTTCTAACTAGGAACTTAATCATTTAAGTGAGAAATAAGTTGTATTATGTTTTAGGTGTTCATCTCCCAAATATGGAGGGACATTTAAGTTGTTTCTTCTGTCCACTGCCTCTTACCCCTGGCTCTCTATTTCTCTCTTCCTCTTCTCTTCCCTTTTCATTTCTTTCTTCACATTTTATTTTCATACACTTTTCTCATTAACACTTCTTTCATTATTCTTTTTCTCATTATACCCAGACTAGATATCAAAATACTGTACTCTAATTGCTTTTTATTGTCAGTTTTCATAATATGGGTTTGCTGCATAACATTCTGTATATATATGTTGTGTGATTATATAAATAATAGTTTTATTAATGATATGGTTCATACTTTGTGACAGGTGTGAAAGAGAAAGGAGTAACAGGACTGAATAACCTGGGCAACACTTGTTTTCTTAATGCTGCCCTTCAGTGCTGCTCCAACACGCATCCTCTCACCACATACTTCATCAATAACATGCATCTCTACGAGCTAAATCCAGACAATCCTTGTGGAATGAAGGGTCATATGGCAAGACAATATGGAAATCTAATGCAAGAGCTGTGGGGTGGTGGCGCAAGAACTGTAGCTCCACTCAAACTAAGGGTGTGTTTTAAAATCTTGGTACTTACTGTTTGAAATAAATCTTCACAGTGATAAATTTTTTACAGTAAATTGTATAATGTGTTCATATAATGTGGTGCTTGGAAAAGAGTTATGTCAACACTACATGTACTGGGTATGTAAAAAATTATAGGAGGGCCCTTCTTATACAGCAGATTAGGCTCCAGGCTACTGCTGTAAAGCAAAAATTACTGTAAAGTGAATCATTGTCTTTTTTTACTTTCAAATGCATATAAAAGCCTGATAACATGTTTACACTTTCATATACAGCTTCTCCTCACTTAAAGACGGAGTTTCATTCCTAAGACCATGTTAAACGAATTTGTCACTAAGTGAGGAGCATACTATAATGGTAGTGGGTTTGTGTCAACCTTCTTTGATATTGTTTTAATGTCACCTTTGCACCATTCATAACATTTCTTGTATATTTTTACATGTTTATACAGTAGTGTACTGTACATTGAAATAAACAGAATAGAGGAAATTAGCTCTAATATACATTATTTAGTTATAAATACTGGTCTGAGAGCCCGTCATAAGTCCGAGGCGTTGGTAAACGAGTACAGTGGACCCTCGTTTTTCGTAATTAATCCGTTCCAGTGCGACTAATGGTGAAATTGACCATTTGCTAAACCATTTTCCCCATAAGAAATGATGTAAATCCAATTAATTTGTTCCAGACACCAAAAAGTATTAAAACAAAATAATTTTTTTACAAGAAATACAGTTGTACATACACAGAAAATAATAAGACATGAATAAAACAATAACAACATGACACTTACCTTTATTGAAGATTCTTCTTAGTGTATGGAAGATGGGAGGAGGGGAGAGGATGGAGAAATTACTGTTTGGAAGGGGAATCCCCTTCCATAAAGACTTCAGGTACCAAGTCCTTTTCTGGGTTTACTTCCCTTCTTTGTTTTTAATGCCAGTAGGACCAGCTTGACAGTCACTGCACAACTGTGGCACTAAATATCTGTCCAAAGAGCTCTGTTTCTGGCATCTCTTTAAAATTTCCCTAAAATGAGACAAGACATTGTCATTGTACGTGTTGCCAACACGGCTTGCAACAGCTTTGTTAGGGTGATGTTCCTCCACAAATCTTTTCAACCTACTCCACAGTGCACAAATCTCCATTACTACCACCCTCTACCACCATCACTGACACCCTCTACCACTATCACAACCACTACCACCACAACCACCCTCTACCACCATCATTACCACCCTCTACCACCATCACTACCACCCTCTACCATCACAGCTACCACCCTCTACCACCATCACAACTACTGCCACCCTTTACCACCATCGCTAGTGCTCCCTCACTTAGAATATTGCTCAGTGCTGACAGCCCTGTTCAAGGCAGGAGAAATATCGGAGCTGGAACAAATACCGAGATTGTTTATGGCTCACATTGAGCCAGTAAAGCATCTAAACTACTGGGAATGCCTGCAAGTCTTGAACATGTACTCATTGGAGCAGAGGAGAGAGAGGTACATGATAATATATACCTGGAAGGTACTCGAGGGCTTGGTCCCAAATCTGCACGCTGCCATAACAACATAATGGAGTGAGAGATATGGGAGGAAGTGTAAAATAAACCCAGTGAAGAGCAGGGGTCCTAGGTAGTAGGTTGGTAGACAGCAACCACCCAGGGAGGTACTCCCGTCCTGCCAAGTGAGTGTAAAACGAAAGCCTGTAATTGTTTTACATGATGGTAGAATTGCTGGTGTCCTTTTTTCTGTCTCGAAAACATGCAAGATTTCAGGTACGTCTTGCTACTTCTGCTTACACTTAGGTCACACTACACATACAGGTACAAGCATATATATACACACCCCTTTGAGTTTTCTTCTATTTTCTTTCTAGTTCTTGTTCTTGTTTATTTCCTCTTACCTCCATGGGGAAGTGGAACAGAATTCTTCCTCCGTATGCCATGCATGTTGTAAGAGGCAACTAAAATGCCGGGAGCAAGGGGCTAGTAACTCCTTCTCCTGTATATATTACTAAATGTAAAAGGAGAAACTTTCGTTTTTCCTTTTGGGCCACCCCACCTCGGTGGGATACGGCTGGTGTGTTGAAAGAAAGAAAGAGCAGGGGTGTGGTGGGGACAATAAGGGAACACTATATCAACATCCGGGATCTCAGACTTTTCAACATCTTATCAGAAGATATCAGAAACACTGCTGGAACAAGTGTAGAAGCCTTCAAGAGGAAACTGGACAAGTATCTTCAGCAGGTGCCAGATCACCCAAGCTGTGATGGGTATATGGGGCAGCGGGCCTCCAGCAGCAACAGCCTGGTTGACCAGGCAAGCACCAGACGAGCCTGGCCCATGGCCGGGCTCAGAGAGTAGATAAACTCTCGAAACTCTTCAAAGGTATATCAAAGGTAAAGGTACACTCTACCACCATCACTACCACCCTCTACCACCATCACAACCACTACCACCCTCTACCACCATCACTACCACTATCACTACCACCATCTAGCACCAGCACTACCACCCTCTAGCACCATCACTACCACCCTCTACCACCATCACAACCATTGCCACCCTCTACCACCATCACAACCACTACCACCCTCTACCACCATCACAACCACTACCACCCTCTACCACCATCACAACCATTACTGCCCTCTACCACCATCACTACCACCACCACTTTCATATTTTTCTGCAATCTTTTTCTTTAATTCTGTTGTGTTAGTCACCTTCTTTACCAAAGGGCTGGCACTAGTATTCTTTTTGCCCATGGTGGCTTATTTAGCAGTTGCAAGCACTAAAACGAATGGAATAATATGAAATGTATTGTATGAACGCCTGGGATCGTGCTCACTCGCTGATAAACAATGGCACACTGACTGTGGCCGCGTCGGGGCCGCCCGTATGCATCTGGGACAAATGACTATTTACGAGTCAAATGACAATTCGCGAGTCAGTATTTTGATGAAAAAATGTTACAATATGCGAAAATTACGACTTCAGATGCTTAGGAAAAATGAGGGTTTACTGTACGTCTCTAAGTGAGGAGAGGCTGTTTTAACCCTTTCAGGGTCGGCAGGCCCTTTCCTAAACTTGTTCTCAGGGTCGGAAATTTTTCGAAAAAAAAAATTATTTTTTCTTATGAAATTATAGAGAATCTTTTCCCGATCATAATGACACCAAAAGTATGAAATTTGATAGAAAACTTATGGAATTATGCTCTCGTGAAGTTAGCGGTCGATTTTTCCCCCGTTAGAGCCCTATTTTCGGCCAATTCCAATGTACCAGTCAGAAAAATCATAACTATTTTCGCTGGAACTGCATTTTTTCTATCGAATGAGTACAAGAAACCACCCATTTACTGATTTCAACTATCCAATAAAGTGGTCTGAAATTGGCAATTTTGCCAATTTCACACAAATTTCAAAGGATGCCAATTTCCAAATAGGGTCCAGAATAAACAAGACAGACATTCCTGGCACTAAAATAACATTTCCTCTGTTCATTAGTCATGTCCCCAGGCCTATGTTACATTTCTTTTGTTTTCCCCTTTGAATTTTTATTCTCACAAAAAATAGAAGATTTACTGTTATGCAGACTACTGCATTAGTGTAGAAATGGTATAATATTCGAATTTTTTTTTTTTTTAATACACCGATTCCACAGCAGGTGGCCCAAAAAGAAAACTTCACTCATTACATATGCCTTGTGAAAGAATATTAGACTCACCAGTTGATGTGTATTGGACGCATGGATTGATTTATTTACTTTTGAACTTTGGTAAAAATCAAACATTTCTGCTACTTTGAGCTCAATTTCAAGGTACTTTTAATTGTGAAACCAATAAAAATCATCTCAATTTCCATAATATGTCTTCCATTTTATAAAATGAGACTAGGAAAACTAGAATACAACGTAAATAGCACACTGCAAAGTCGCTGTTTTAAACCAAACGGCAAAAAGTTTTTTCCTCATTATGCACTGTGTCCTGCAGGATTTTCTTTTATACTGCACACACTGACCACATAGACCCATTCTTTAATATGTGGGCCTACCAGCTTTCACTAGATTTGAAGGCGCTAGGATTTATGAGTACTAGTACAGCACCAACCCTGGAGTGCAAGCCATACTAGTATGGCACCAACCCTGAAAGGGTTAAGTGAGCTGTATAGCTAGGCCTAAAAATATGCATATACAGTACATTTTTTTTTTATTGAACTGGCCATTTCCCACTGAGGCAGGGTGACCTAAAAAGAAAAACGAAAGATTCTCTTTTTAAATTTAGTAATTTACACAGGAGAAGGGTTTACTAGCCCCTTACTCCCAGCATTTTAGTTGCTTCTTATGACACCCATGGCCTTACAGAGGTAGAATTCTGTTCAACTTCCCTATGGAAAAAAGAGGAAATAAACAAAAACAAGAACTATTAAAGAAATAGAAGAAAACCCAGAGGGGTGTGAATATATGCTTGTACATTTATGTGTAGTGTGACCTAAGTGTAAGTAGAAGTAGCAAGATGTTCCTGAAATCTTGCATTTTTATGAGACAAAAAAAAAAAAACTCATTCCTACCATCACGTAAAACAATTATAGGTTTCCGTTTTACTCATTTGGCAGGACGGTAGTACCTCCTTGGGTGGTTGTTGTCTACCAACCTACTACCTAGGATACATTATTTAACTTAAAAATTTTTGTCCTTGGCTTATAGTGAGTGGTGAATATATTTATTGTAGGAAGTCTGATTAACCCTTTGACTGTTTACGCCGTATATATACATTTTACACGCCACTGTTTCTGACGTATTTATACGCATAAATTCTAGCAGCTTCAAATGAAGCAGGAGAAAGCTGGTAGGCCCACATGTGAGAGAATGAGTCTCCATGGTCAGTGTGCACCATATAAAAAAAATCGGGGAGCCATTGGTGCATTGTGGGAATGCCATTTCAGTCATCCTTTTTCAGCATGCTTAGCGGTAAGAAATATATGAC